CCAGGGCAGCGCCCCCTTCCCCCCCTGCTGGAATGCCACAAAGGTCACTGGCCAGACAGGCCACAGAACCTGGGATTATTTTACCATCTCATTTCAACCTGAGAGCAGGCAGTGAGCAGGGGCACGTCCGTGTGCATGTGTGGAGAGACAGAGAACACGAAAGCAACACAGAGCACAGGCAGAGTGTAGAGTGAGAGGCAGAGGGGCCCAGCCCGTGTGCAGCTCAGAGACCCAGAGACAGAGAGACAGAGACAGAATCCACAGCGGAGACCGACTTGGCACAGATTAGAGGTTATGTCATAGGTTATCATTTTAAAACTTACAATATATCATAGAAAGAAACACAAGTATGATTACTATAAAGGGAATTATGAACTGCCTTACATCTGTACAGGACCTAGAGTATTACCAAGTCCTCCCCACGTGCCCAAATGCTGGCCAATGAGGAGGCCAGCTAATGACTTCTCTTTCTGTCCCTGGCGCTTGGAGACATGTGACCTTGGTTAAAAGTCATGTAGATTCTGTCTGCCTGTTTCTCTTCTCTAGACTGGGACTGGTTTCCTGGGCCAGGCTACCGCCTCTGGAGGGCTGGCGGGGAGCCTTCCCATCCATCTCCTTTCGTCTATCTTGATGCTGCAAACTCCAGCTTAAGAACAGAGATTTAAATATATTGTTTTCATTAATTGCCAGCATTTGAAAGTCAAGAGCTACTGTGTAAATCAGGACATTGGGTTTTCTTTGAAAAATGGGCAGAATGGGCAACGCTGGGCCTCTGTCCCAACGTGGCAGCTCTGCCTCAAGCTGATGCCAGCGATGCCCTTTAGCTCACCACAGTCCCCGTCACTCCCCATTGCCTCCCGGACCCTGGATTTTGTTGTTTGCAGCCCTTGTTCTTTCTCACCAACATATTTTGTTGAAATGAACTTTTCACGGGTCAGTCTCCTGTCTCAGAGGCAGAGAATATGTCTTGTTCGCCCCTGGACTTCCAGCCTTGGGCCCAGTGCCTGGCACATCAGAGTGCTCAGGCAGGTTTGCTGAAATTACCAATGCGTGGCACCAGGTGAGAGTGACAAGCAAGGAGAGAGAGCACACCCAAGGGAAAGTGGGCGGTGAAGACAGCCTCAGCCTCCCAGTCTGGCCCACCGTCCACGGTGCGTGCCAGGGTGCGTCCTCAACATTGCACTTCCTTATTTCCTCCCACAGGTGAGCTGCTCCCTTGAATGAGTCACCTGGCTATGAGAGAAGACAGTGAAAAGAGGGTGATAGAGGCTCCTGCAAGTGTTTTATTTTTTTTTCTCTTGGATGCTGACAGAGACAGCGGGTAAGTCTGCTTGCCTGTGGTCTAGGCAGTCCTTGTGAGGAGACACAAGTCTTTGTGAAGAGGAAGCTCTAGGAGCAGTGTAGCATATGTGATCAAATTCTGGCGACACACTGGCTAGATGTGTGACCTTGAACAAGTAATTGACCCTTCTGGGCCTGTCTCCCCATCTGTAAAATAGAGATAACAATGGTATTCGTCTCATAGGGATGATGCATACATTGAATGAGATAACACATGTAAAGTGCCTGGCACATGTTTGCTTGCCGCATAACACTCCCTAGATTACCTTCCTCCGGCTGCCAGAACAAATTACCACAAACTGGAGGATGTAAAACAACAGGGAGCTGTTCTCTCTCAGTTCTGGAGCCAGAGGTCCCAAATCCAGGTGGCGGCTACCTCCCTCGGGAGCTCCAGAGAGAATCTGTCCTTTGCTCTGGATGTGGTTCCTCCCAGGCATCCCTTGGCTTGGGGCTGCGTCCTCCAGCCTCCGTCTCCCTCCTTTCATGTGTCTGTTACTTCTCTCCTGCCTCCTGGGGGGACACTTGCCATTGGGTTAGGGCCCATCCATCCCATCATCCAGGATGATCTCATCTCAGGACCCCTAACTAATTACCTCTACGTAGCCCCCTTTTCCAAATAAGGTCACATTCACAAATTCCAGGCTGCAACTATATCTTTTGGAGAGGCTACCATTCAACCACTATGATACCTAACGTTTTTTGAGTGCTTTCTGTAAACCGAACTACACATGCATTATTTGATCATCTAATTAAGTTAGATCCCGAAGAAGAGAGTCCAGGCCCAGGTGTTCCTACCTTGGGGCCTGATGCTGGTTTCCCAAGTGATGAGGCTGAGCACAGCTCTGTGGCTCCATGATTAGCGACCAGAGGGAGTGGCTTGACACACATCATTTGTAGACTTTTCTGGATTCGCTCTTGGCCCTCTCCATGTGCATTATCCTTTTCTTTCCCTGCAAAATGCCCGTGGTAGACGCTGATGTGCTGTCCAGATCCTCCTTAAGGACTTGTCCCAGCTGCTGGGAGTGCTGTCATCAAACAGACTTTAGCTGTCAGCCCCTGTGGGTCAGCCTCCAGTGCAGAGAGTCCCTCATTGGGGATCACCTGTCCTCATGTGGGCCACATCCAGGACCGAAGAAAGCAGCAACACATAGAATTCGGCCATTTCAGCCCGATATGGGGCACCTTTAACTCCAGGGTCCCCTGTGTGGTCACAAGAGGCTGTGAGGGGACTGTGTCACTTCCCCCTTGGCCCAGTCCTGCTTCCACAGGATTGATCCCAAAGGTACCCCCTGCTAAACATCCTACAAGATAAACTCCAAATCAGTCTGCTTCCCAGACACACCAACATGCCAATGTTGAAGGACCATCTATTCTGGGATCGAGCAATTATATGTGAGATAGAAATTTTACTCCAGCTAACTGTGTATTTATGTGCAATGCTTCTGTTTCCCATAGGTAACCATAAATAATGTCACCTTGAAGTTTAAATCGTATTTTTTTTAACTTTTTGGAGAGCTCTTTAAGGCTTTGCAGTTTTTCGTTTTTCTAAGACTTAGAACATGCAAATGAATCTAAGGCAATCCTGAAACTTGGAAATACTCTGCAGGTACCTGGAAAAAAGGAGCACCGGTTTGATAGTTGCTGAAAACTTGTTTTCTTGAAAATAATATTTTGAGGTTTCAAATGGACTTACATTTGCCTTTGAATTTTTAATTAATTTGATGAAATTCATCATATATTTACTAATAGCACCATCTGTGAGCAAGAAAGCAGAAAAGAATATAAGACAAAGGAGACAGTCTTCTGTTCTGGTTGAGAAAATAGACTTTTGGAATAAATTCGGTCTGGGCTTGATCTTGTCTCTCCCACTCACTGTCACTGAACTCTGTGCCTCAGTTTCCCCAACTATCAAATGAGAGTACTAATGATATCTACCCCAGAGACCGTGAAAGTTAAATGAGATTCTCTGTATAATAGTAAACACAATAAATGCTATTTATCATTATTAACTACTACCTGAGGCAAAATAAATACATGCACATACACAAATTTTAGATCATTTGATCCTTTGCTTACAGAAAATTCATGAAAATTTGTCCAAACTTATTTTAAAAAGATACAATGGGCTTTTTTTTTTCTTATTAGAGAGAAAACCATTGAGTTTTCTTATTCTGGAGGTGACATCTGAGTAAAGACCTGAAGGCAGTATAGGCGTGGGCCACATGGCTCTCCTGGGAAGAGCATTTCAGAGGGAACAGACAGTGCAAAATTCTGAGAGGTCAGCTAGACATGCTTGAGCTCTGACCAAGAGGCCCATGTGGCTGGAGTGGACTAAGCAGGGCAGATGAGGTCAGAGATATAAGGGGGTGGGGACAGGTCTTGTAGGATCTGGCAGGTCATTGTGAAGCGTGTGGATTTTGCTAAAAGATTAGAAGCTATTAGGAGTCTTGAGCCATGGAGTGACATGGCCCAATTTATGCATGAAAAGGATCCCCTGACTCCGCATTAGGGATGGAGGGGAGGTGGGCAAGGCAGAAAAGTGGGTAGACTGCTGTTGGATGGATGCTACTGCTTTTAGATCGCTTTTAGATCAGGGCAGTCACAGGGGGCACGGAGCATTCAGCACCAGCTGAATTCTGAACCCTGAACTGACAGGATTTGGTAAAGTCTTGGGGAGAAGAGTTAAGGATAACTCTCAGTGGTGTTTTGTTTTTGCGTGTTTTTGTTGTTGTTGTTTGTCTTGAGCAACTGAAGAAAAAAGGCTCCTTGAACTAAGAAGAGTAAGATGCAGAGACAGGCAGGTTGTGAAGGAATGGGAGGTGTTCATGTTGGGCCCCGTTAAGCGTGCAAATGAACATGTTGAAGTGGCAGTGGGAAGAGTCTGGGGTTGGCTGGCAGTCTGGGCTGCAAGTATAGAGTTAGGAGTCATTGGGCTATAGTTGGTGTTTCAAACTATAAGACTGGATGAAATCACCGAGGAAGTGAGTAGAAATAGAAACAGGAGAGGGTCAGGGGTCAGAGAGATAACAAGGAACAGCCACGGAGCCTGAGAAGGAGCTGCCGGTGAAGGACAAGGAAAACCAGGAGAGTCTGGAAACCAGGTGATGCATGCGAGCAGGGCTTTGAGGGGTGAACAGGAGCCTGTAAGGCCAGTGGTCCTGCAAGCGTGGTTGCAGACGAGCAGCATCAGTATCCGCATCTGGAAATTTGTTAGGAATGTGCAGCACCTCCGGCCCACCCTCAATCTACTGGGTCACCAACTCTGATGGTGGGGCCCGCCAGGGGATTCTGATGCACCCTCAAGTGTGAGAACCACTACCCTAGGCACAAAAGTGCCTGCACAACATTAGAATGAGGCTTGAGAAGGGGAAAAACAAACAAACAAGCTTTTTTTTACTGGAAGAGAACAATTTTAAAGACCCACTTAGTGCTCAAAGCAACTGTGCAGCAGATGGGTGCCTGCCAGTAAACCCTCTCCCAGGAAGCCCCTGTGCCCACGTCCCAACTTAGAAACCTTCTGTTAATTCATCATGGCTCTCTGGAGAGGAGGAATGCCCCATTCACCGGACAGAGGGAATGCAGAGCACCAGGCATGCCAGACATTCCACGGCTAAAAACGGGGGCCGGGGGTGGTATTTCACGGTTAGCGTTCCTGGGCCACGAATGCTGAAACCCGTGAGATGTGAAGCTATTCCACCCTCCAGTTTCCAAAATTTCCTCTAGATTTTCCCAGGAGGATCCCGCCGTCTCCCATTCTGGGGAGAAGTAGTTAAAATTAAGGCCAGCCCTGCAGGACTGCCATGCCAGATGCTGAGAGGCTGTCCCCAGAAATAAGCTGGCTCCCACCGCGGCTGGGCGGGGCGGCGCGCCTCCTGGAAGGCCGGCCCCAGGGCAAGGGATCTGGTCCCAAACTTTGAAATCTTGCGCGGAGGCACTGCATCCCGACCTCTCCTTTCCCAGCCACTCCTGGCGAGCCTTTCAAAAAAAAAAAAAAGTGTGCAGTTGTCTCCTCCCCGCCCAGCCCTATCCTCGCCCAGGACCAGCTGTGCGGCGGGGACGCGGTCAGACCCGCGGCTGCAGCAGACCAAGCTGCGCTCTCCATTTAGGCACCTTCAGCTTTCCGCCCGGCGCTGGGAGCACTTTGCAAAGTTGAGCAGCTCTTAAGCGCACGCTTGGCCTCTCGACTTCTCCCGCCCCGGTCCCAGGCGCCCCCGCCCCCCACGCTCCCTTCTACTGGGAGCAGCTCGTCCCAGCGGCTGGCAGCTTACACCACTTTCGGGTCCTCCGCCCCGAAGCGCGACCATGCTATTAAGGGGCATCCTGCTGGCAGTGCAAGGTAAGGCCTGGACCCGGTGTGTGCGTGTTTGGGGGAGCGGGTGCAGGGGGGCGGTGCAGGGGACGCTCTCGTGACCCGCTCCCTCTCCTGCTGCTCCAGTGGCCGGGCTCGCTGCCCTGGGCTGAGCCATCCAAGGGCGCCTCCTGATACTTCTCCGCAGCGGCTCTCTCGCTCCCCAAGCCAAGCCTGGGGTGGTGATCCTGCGCGCAATGGAAGCGCCGGTGTGGGAGAACTGTAGTGCATCCCCTCACCTGCCCCCTCCTGCACGCCTTCCCCTCACTTCCACCAGGTAGTTTCCCAAGGGTGCCCAGAGTTGGTGCCAAGGCTCCCCGAACTGAAACTCGCTTTATGCCCGCAGCCCTGCAGCTTGTCCGTGCCTTGGACCTGCCCGCTGGGTCCTGCGCCTTCGAAGAGAACACCTGTGGCTTTGACTCCGTGCTTGCGTTCCGGCCGTGGATTTTAAATGAGGAAGGTAAGGAGATTCGGTGCACCGGGGCCCGAGGTGAACTTGCCCTGCTGGTTGGCTCTTTCACGTGGGAAATGCTATCTTGGGGTTAAATCCCCTTGGAAGGAAAAGTGTGCGTCATGGATCCTCCTTCCAAACCTCAGCTGTGCTGCCTAGATGGCCAAGGAAGAGATGGGGGAGGAGTGGGGTGTCCTTTGTTTACCTGGCCTGGGGTAGAAGCTCTGAGGTTTTGCCCCTCCCCCCAGCACTCCATAATGGAAGGGAGAAAGGGGGCATGGCTGATGACTGTCCCCCACCGCCGGTCATCCTCTCTGTCCTCTGTGGACACCTTTGCGAGTGGTGGAAGGCAGACGGGGCCTTCTCTTCCCACCCTGCAGAAGGGGTTCCATAATTCTGTGATGAGACTTCTGTGTTTGGCTGCATGATATCATCACCATATTCCTGTTGTATTTATAATCCAGCACTTGGCAAAAGAGGAAACCAAGTCCATGACCTTGTGCCTGAGGCCACTCAGCTGGTGGGTGTTGGTCGTGGTCTCACCACTACATACCACTTGGGTTCTAGTGACAGAGTTTAAATGTGGGGTCTTCAGAGGTATCTTCTTACCCTTCATTTAGTAAAAATAAGTAGTTCTCTGGTGCCCAAAGCGGGCACCGGGGAGTCCCTTCTCATTTCCTCTCTGGCTCACTGTGTCACCCCCTTTAGAGGATTGATGCCCCAGGCCACTAGGGCAAGAGCTTGCTTTAACACACACTGCAGCATAAAGGAGGCCAGTTTACTGCCTTCCCCTTTCCAAATGCCTCAGGCCTCCCATCACCCAACCTGGAGAAGGGTGGAGCCCAGAAGCTCTGGTTAGGACATAGGAACTGTCAATCACAGTTTATTCTGCCCCAGGCTTCTATTTGGGGCTTTGCATTAGCTTCTCTGACACTCACAGGTGGGTGATGTTAAGCCCCATTTTCACAGAAGGGAATCTCATTCTTCGAATATTTAAATGGTTGGTCCAGTCACATGGCACTGGCCAGCTCTGACCTGTCTAATGAGGGGGGGAACTCACTCAGTAGAGCCACTTGCATGACCCTAAGAGTGAAACCCTTAAATATTGTGCCCTAGGCACTTCTCTAGTCCTGGCCCTGAGAAAAGGAAATGAACATCACCCGTTCATCCAGGAGCCTCAGTCCCTGAGCGCCGCCCCCCTCCCCCCCCCAGTTCTCTGGCAGGATGGTGGCCCCCTCACAGCAGGCTGCTGCCTGGGTCAGTGGCATGCCACAGCCTGCCCAACTCCACTGCCTCCCATGCCCACAGGAAGTGCTCTCCGCTGAGCTGGCACCTCTGCACAGTGGCAGTTAAATCGAGCAAACAGGAAGATGCTTATAGGAAAAGGTGATTAAGGTTTAATAGTATAATGAAGGTACTGTTGCTTTCCCGTTTCCTTTCTTTCTAACTTCTAGCGGCCACTGTTTTCTGGCTCAGTCCTAGGACTTCTGGTTTGGCTGGGGAAGTGAATTCATTCGCCTTCGAGCGCTCCAGGTGGGCAGGTTAGGCTTCCGTCGTTACATATGGGGTTTTTCAAAGACCAGAACTTGGACATTAACAGTCCACTCCAGATAGGCAAAGAGTTCATTGTGTGCTGGCTGCTGTGGCTGCCTGCTGAGAAGCCATCGCTAAGAATTTCTGTTATAAACCCATTTCTAGATTGGTAACTTAAAGATAATAAAATCTCCCTGGGCTGAAATTTGGCAAGCTGTTCACAAGTTTCTCTGCAAATTTCCTTCATCTGGTTGCAAAAACCCTTTGAAACTGATGCCATCTGCGCATTTGTATCCACCAAAGAAAAGTTGTAGGTTTCAGAGACTTTCGCCCGCAGTGTTTGGCACACAAATGGCATATCTATATGTCCTTAGTCCATAGATTAATTTACAATGGAAAGAACAATGCTAAAGGCCAGTGAAGGGAGAAATTGGAATTTCATCACAGGAGATTCAAATCTGGGGTGATTGTCTTAAAATATCTTCCCAGCTGCCCAAAATTATATTGGAGGTCCAACCCTTTAGTTTATTTCAAGTATTAGTTCTCCACACATCTCCGGTTACAATTCCGATGTCTCTAGTTCATGGCCATTTTGAAATATGCTTGTTCTCCACTGGACACAGGATGGGCGAGTTGGGCAGGGCAGTGTGCTGGCTTGTGTTGTGTACCACCATGGGGGCCCCCCCAGGGACAGGGTGTGACACCAGTCTTGGGGACCAGCCCCTGCAGTCTAGCCTCTTCTACTTTCTACTTTTGCCAATGGTGCCTTGGTGGGTGTTTGTTTTTGTTTTTAAATTTTCCTCTATGTTTTTTTGTAGAATTTTTTTTATCTTCCCTAACTTGTTAAGGCAAGTGAGATTATGTCAAACTCAAATTTGAACTGGTTTCTATGTTTTAGTTTTGAATTAAATCCAGGAAAGAAGAGATCTATTTTATCCTATAAAAATCTTTATTCATTCACTCCTTTACATAGTGGTCCTCAGCTGAAATCCAAACCATTGGTTCCATTTCCACATGTCAGCCGTTCACCGGAGGATTCTTAGGGAACAGAAAGTTGACCTTTCATCCAAAGAGTCACAATTCAAATTAGTCATCAGGTGGATGTTGGCTTCGCTCTGAGTTTTGGATATTTTGGCTTAGTATCTTTACCTAACACCCTCAGAGGAACTGAGGGGGGGTGGGGTGGTAAAATCCAAATCCAGGCACTGCTTTTTAATTGGAAGTTTCAAAAACAAAGCCTTAGGGAAAGCATTTTTTTTCTATAGCAGTGGGGGTCAGGAGTCGAGAAATTGCCTAATCCAGGAAGAGCAAGTGCTGATATCCAGGCAGCTAGAGGTTTGGTATAACAAGGGGTGGGGGTAGGGGTGTGACCATGGCAGAGGTGCCCAAATCCCTTTGTGAGCACATGCGTGCATCTCTTTCTGACACCTCCTTTCTTCACCAAAACCCCTTCCTTCTATCTTGAGGATACTTCCAGTCACTTGGCCATCTGAGTTTCAGTTCTGCACGCAGTCATGTGCCAGTTATTATAAATAGTGATAATCCGCCTGATATTTCTTGAAGCCCAACTAGAGCCAAAAGTCTGCAAGGGACCCAGGGGCCTTCCTGGAACAGGAGGAGCAGTCCTCCCTTCCTGTGGATTACAGCTCTTTTCCTGACCCTGGGGGGCCCACTCTGCTTCTCACCCTAAAATCAAGGGTTCACAAGGTAGTTCCTGCCCCCTGGGCCTGCTTGAACCTGCATCTCCCCTGCTTATGGGTCTCCTGGTGCCCTCTAAGCAGAAACATACCCCACGTTGTGTTGAGAACGAGAGCAGCCCACATTCAGTGTGTCCCTTGGATGTTTCTCAGAGAGATGGTCAATGCAATAGTATCACCCGGCATTCCCCGGGCCGCCCTGGCTATGCTGCTGTCAGGTTGAGTGTGGCTGTTGTGCACTGTGCCTGAGCATGGCATTGGATCTGCTCTGGCTCTGCAAGGGCTCCTAGATCCTAGTGGTGGCCTTGGAGGTCATCCAATGCAATGTACTTATTTTACAGAGGAGTACGCTGGGCCCAGACAGGCTCCCAGTCATGGTCACGGCCCAGGCAATGGCAACCTCTCATGTCCTCTGTTCACCAGTTCTTCCCTTAGTATCACTGCCTCATCCCAGTCTCCACTGGGTCCTGGGCCCTGGAGCTTTGTGTTAATTATAGCAGTTTGGAAACTCTTCATAAGAGATATAGTTACAGCTCATACATATGATAGAACACAGGTTCCAAAGATGTGGGCCTACCAGAGTCACGCAACACTACACTCTTGGTCATACAGTGCATTTATTCACTCTTCCGGATGTGTGGGGTATCCCACCTGTCGGCAATCTTCAGCATATAGAAAAGGGTCTGGCATGTAGTAGATGCTCAGTAAAGATTTATTGAGTGAATTAATTTGCTGAATGAGTAAATGAAGTATTGGATGAGTAAAAGGTCCTTATGCATGTTCATTTGTGCTCTTGGTTCATTCTGTACCTTCAAAGGTAATTCCTTATCATGAAAAACAATGTAAGCCTAGTGGTTAGTATAACCTCTAAGCTAGACAGCTTGAATCCAGGCTCTGCCCCTTCATGCTGTATGGCCTTGAACAAGTTACATATCCTTTCTGTGTCAGTTTCCTCAGCTGTAAAATGGAGATAATAAAAGTGCCTATCTCGTAAGATTGTTGTGAAGATTGAATACATTAAAATATGTAACACAGAGTGAGCACTTTAAACATGTAACCTGTTATTGTTCTTACTCTCACTATTACTAGATTTGTATTTTATCAATCATGATTTCTTCTAATCCAAACAGCTTTCCAACACAGCTTCTGAGAAGCTACGGAGAGACTCATTTTCTTTTGATTATAGTTTTGCCATTTGCTCTTCATTCCAACCAGAGGAAGAACATTCCTTTTCTTATTATTTGCCTCTATTTTTAGCGCCCACAAGCCTCTCAGGCCATCTAACTTTTGTATGTCTGAGTGAGGTATGGAGATAAAGTATTAGAACCAAGTTCACTGGTTGATAGTCTCTCCAAATGACTTATTAGTAACACCTTTTCTCCGTAAATTCTTGGTTTGGGTCAGGAGTCCTTTGCATCCTGCCCCATCACTCTTCCACCCTAGGCTGCTCCTCCCTACGTATCCATCCACAGAGCTGGTGCCTCAGCATCAATCATGCTCCGTGGTTGATGGTGCTGGTGCCTTCTATGATATGTCTCGTCATGCTCATCTCTCATCTCCTGAGTTCTTTGGCAGGTCCCTAACCCTTGGCCTCCCTGTCAGTCAGTCTAGGGCAGTGGTCGGCAAACTGTGGTGCTCGAGCCACATGCGGCTCTTTGGCCCCTTGACTGTGGCTCTTCCACAAAATATCACGTGCGGGCGCACATGTACAGTACGATTGAAACTTCGTGGCCCATGCGCAGAAGTCGGTATTTTGTGGAAGAGCCACACTCAAGGGGC